TGACATATAATCCATGTTAATAAGCATAAAACAAGCATTATAACACAACTAGGGAAGTATACTCACAATCTGGGATAAAAACCCGAAGATCCGTGAGAGAGAATATTGACTTTTCTCTAAATGTAATTCAACCAATGAACCAATTTGGTTCAGAATTCTATTTATAGTCCTGAAATATTTTTGGCAGAAAATATTTTTATTCCTCGAACGAACTCTAATGTCCTAGAGTAATGGAATAACAGTGTTGCACAAAACCCTAGTGCAACCACTCTCCTAATATCTTCTTAAGTGTAAATCCTGAAAACTGCCTAACTTACACTCGGAGTCTGAATTTTCACTGTAACTGATCTACATCTATTGGCTTGATATGGTTTGTTCAGAATGGGAATTTCGGGTTGTCACAGACCAAAATGTTCAAGTACTCAAAAGATCAAGGATTTATAAGATATACCTGAACTTGGGATGTGACAACTCTCTGTATAATTAGAGAAAACTTAGATCCAAATCATTTAGGTTGTATGTGCACCGTAGGTATGTTATAGCACATAAAACCTAATAGGTTGATGCTCGATCGCTCGGTTATCGTGTTTATTGATGATATCTTGGTGTATTCGAAGACCAGTGAGTAGCATGAGGAGCATCTTCGCGAGCTTTTGGGGGTTTTGAGGCAAGAACAACTATATGTTAAGTTCTCTAAGTGTGAGTTTTGGTTGCAATAGGTTCAGTTTCTTGGACATCGTTAACCAAGATGGGATTTTGGTCGATCTGGCCAAAATCGAGGCGGTGATGCAGTGGGAGCTTTCGAAATATCCCTTGGATATCAAGAGTTTCTTGAGTTTGGCATGGTACTATCAAAGATGCATGTAGGATTTCTCCAAGATTGTGGTACCCCTTACGTGTCTGACGATGAAGGGGGTGGATTTCTGGTGGGGCCCTAAGTAGCAGGCAGCGTTTGAGACCCTTTAGTAGAGACTTTGCGAGGCCCCAATTTTGACCCTCCCTGAGGGAGTCGAGGATTTTGTGGATTTCTATGATGCGTCCATCACCGAGTCAGGGGCCATATTCATATAGAGAGTACGGGTGATAGCTTATGCTTCGGGACAGCTGAAAATGCATGAGACACGATATGCCAAGCATGATATTGAGTTGGGGGCGGTGGTTTTCACCCTCAAGATTTGGAGTCATTACCTTTATGAGGTTCGTTGTACTATCCACATAGATCACAATAGTTTGAGAAACATTATGGATCAGTCGAACCTGAACATGAGGTAGCACAGGTGGCTGGACATAGTCAAGGATTATGATAATGAGATCCTTTACCATCTCGGTAAAGCGAATGTGGTGGCGGATGCCTTTAGTCTTAAGGCGGCCGGACCTTCTGTGGAGGTGACATGTATGAATATTTTTGTGGATTCTCCCTTGTGAGGTTGATTAAGGAGGCTCAGGAAGAGGGAGTATGGGAGGAGAATTGGAAAATTGAGAGGATCAGGGGCGAGATAACTAGGTTTGTTCCGGACAGTCGTGGTTTGTTGACCCATTGTGGTCGGGTATGGGTTCTTATGATTTGTGGGATCAGATAGATTATGTTCGAGGAGGCTCATAAGTCTCATTTTTCTATTCATCTGGGGTTCACCAAGATGTATTGGGATCTGCGTTTGAGTTATTGGTGGTTGTGCATGAACAGAGAGATCGCCTAGTACGTCGAGAGGTGCTTAACCTGTAGGATGGTCAAGGCCGAGCATCAGAGGCCGCATGGCATGTTGCAGCCTCTGGTGGTTCCCAAGTCAAAATGAGAGCAGATTCTGATGGGCTTCATCACCAAGTTGCTGAAGACAACAAAGGGTTTTAATGCTATTTGGGTTGTCGTGGATCGACTGACCAAGAGTGCCTACTTTTTGGCAATTCGGTAGAGTTCTTCGGCCGAGAAGTTGGCCAATCTGAATATTCGTGATTTTGTGTTGCTGAAGGTCTCACCTTGGAAATGCTATGCCGACGGCATCGATCCAAGTTGAATTTTCAGGTCGGTGACATGGTGTTGCTGAAGGTCTCACCTTCGAAATTTGTGATTCGCTTTAGGAAGAGGGGGAAATTGGGCCCCTGATATATCGGGCCATTCGATATTGTTTCTAGGGTTGGCAAGGTTTCCAATAGATTGGATCTTCTAGAGGAGCACTGACGGATTCATAGCACTTTCCATGTTTTGCAGTTGTGGAAGTGTGTACAGGATGAGGATGCAGTTGTGTCATTGGATGATATTCAGGTTGATGACCACTTGAACTATGTTGAGAGGCCCATAGCTATCCTTGAAAAAAGTGAAGGTTTTACGAAGAAAGGAAGTACCTCTGGTAAAGGTACGTTGGTAGCATTAGAGGGGCTCTGAGTGGACCTGGGAGCCAGAGGCTGAGATGCGGGAGCATTAATCAGAACTATTTGATGCAACTGACTATGAGGACGAAGTCTAAGTTAAGTGGGGGGAGTTCTAATACTCCAATTTTGGTAAGTTTTTTTTCCCTTAATTTTTGAATTATGCATTTTGGCCCTTGCAGCTAGTATGTGGGGCGTACCCATATGGTACGCTTAGCGTACTAGCTAGGAATGGATCAGGACATCAGGGGCGTATGCTGGGTGTACCTTATGGTATGTTGGGTGTACGCGTAGGTTCAGTAAACCCTAATGTAGGTTATTTCACCCTATAAATCCATCCTTAACTCTTATACCTGGCCTCATTTCATGTCCCTCACCCTCCAGAAAACCCTAAACGTCCCTTTTAGCCTCCCGTCTTTGCATCTTGAGCTTTTAGAGTAAAAGTTGGTGTGTTTGGTCCATCCTTGAAGAACTCTAGAAGGAAGTGAAGTTCATAGCTGTCACACCCCAAAACCAAGAACAGCGGAAACGTTCTACGGCGGAGGACGTCATGTATAATATCACAACAATGTAAAGTAGTAAACAAGCAGCAACATCATCCATTGCATTAATAATATAATTATTATACAAGTGTTGTGTCAAATTTTGATAAACACCAAAGCATAAATCAAAATGAAAGATGAGTCTTGAACAAGCTCCATCTTCCTTTCTCCTTGCATCGATACCTGTCTATGATGAGCTGAGGATACAAGAAATTTTGAAAGCGAGTATCAGCTTTAAAGCTGGTGAGGTCATAAGTATTTAGTGTCTTAATTTGTATGTAGGAATTTGTAAGTAAATGAATTGTAACTATTGAAAATGTATATGAATTGTAAGTATGAAAATGTTTGTAAAACAACTGTAAACGTTTGAAAAACTCTAGAAATCCCTATGATTCCTAATATTATATAAGGGTGTCTTCTACCAAGACCTAACTATTCTCAATGTTCGTGTCATGTAAAAGTGTGTAATTTTCCCAAGTGTAACTATTATTAACAAAATATAGTTTAAGTGAAAAGATCACTAAATATATGTACAGGGAAAATTAATGTAGTACTAAAACGTAGCGCTATAAGAACTACTGTTGTACTAACTACCTTAAACTGGATTTATATTAAGGTATCATGTGATAAATTGCACCATACTATAGTCTAGTAAGAACGACAACGTATAGTCGAAAATAAGGTATGACGTTTGGCACCCGCAGACCTGCCGGTCCGGCTGTAGCTAGCAGCAAGGTGTAGGATAGTCAATCCAGTATAGATCTATACACAAACTCACGCTCTCCCTTCAATAGACTCTGGCTAAAACTCGGGTCATGACAATTAAGGCATGCTCCCATACAGTGGATCACAATTGTTAACGTATTCATGTAAGTGTAATGTAATGAACTGTTCTAGCTGTAATGTATGTGCTCTCTACCTAGCAAGTATAGTAATGTAATTGTTCTAGTATAGTTGTATATGTTCTCTTCCTAGTATAGTTGTATATGTTCTTCTAGTAGTAAGTATTGACTCATGAATGAACTGACTCATAGTATAATATCACGTTCCTGTAATAGTTCTAGTATCTTCCTAAATTACCCATATGGTAGTTTACTAGTAATCTAACTGGTAAGTATGAACATGGATGTATACCCTTGCTACCCAAGGGCATGGGATGAACTGGAAGGACCTTCTATGACTATATCTCAAGCACGAAAAGGAAATAGGGTGGATAGCCTTCCTAAGTCTTTTAAGCATTTCTTATATAACTATACATATAGAGGCATGCAATTTATAATATAAAAGCATAAATAAGTTTTGTAAAACATTTGAACATAATTATTATCTTTAGAAAAGATCGACTTGATGTCAACCTATAAAATAGTTTGAAGGCATAGGTTTGATAAAACAATTTAAGTATAAGGAAACATTTGTTGGAAACACAATTGTAAATAAGTTTGAAATGTAATATACAGAGTAAACTGTACAGTGTAATAAGGAGTTTAAAACATATACAATGTTTATAAAAATCATTTGAAGTAACGGTTTGGTAAAACGGCTAATGAGTAGCCAAATCATTTGAATGTTGTATATTAATCACATGTGATTGATATAATAACTAGCATGATTCTACTTGTATACCCCCCCCCCCCCATAAAACATTTAAAACACTACTAGAAAAACAGCCTTTTACGACGTGCAATGCGTGTCGTGAAACGCTCAGACGATGCGCAAATGCGCGTCAAGGAAGGCCCTGTCATAACGAGAGACGACATGCTTTTGCGCGCCGTCTATAGACGATGCGCATTTACGACACACATTTATGACACGCATTGCGTTTCATTAAAACCACTGTCAAGAAAGGCCATGTCATAAATGAAGATGACACACATTTTTGCGTATCGTAATTTTATTTTATTTTTAAAATTATTATTGATTTACTAATTTTCAAATTAAATCTGCATTTCATGTCTCATAATAGAAAATAAAATACCATATACAAAAAAGTACAATCCATTGCACAAAAGTTAATGTTATACAAATAATCGTTCCAACATGAGACAAATGTAATACATCAAATATGAAAGAGATGATCAACAAATAATAGTTGAACTACAAGAACTTGTTGCCCACCTTCCCAACATCTGAGCTACTTTGCTTGAGATTATGCGCATCAACAAGACCTACAAATTTGAATAATGCAACCATTAGATTCACATAAACCAACAAATCCCAATATGTAAAAATAAGCCAAAAACCAAAAATAACTTGTTGAATCCACTGCATGCAATGTAAATTTGTATTAAGATCATTGATTATAATGTCATATAACTTTTTTAACCTACATTCAAGTGTAAAATCGAACCTGTGATTGTAGAAGTTGATAGAATTATAAGGCAAGGAGGGAAACCGATTGTTGTGACGAATCTAGTACAATAGGGGAATTTGAAAACCTCTTGAAGCCACTACATTGCAATGTAAAGTTGTATGTTTTATAAGAATCAAGAAGAATTACTCAGTGCCTAGAAGTCAACTTGGAGGCCTAACACCTATGCAATGGCTTCATGATCTTATTCATTCAGGGACTAGATACAACCTAATGTTTTGTTTGCTTAACACAATTTCCTTTCTATAAATATTAAAAGGTTATCATTTTGTTAACAGGTCAAAAGAAATGAACCTTTTCTCTTACTATTTTCTCAGCTCCAAGATGTTTCACTTTGAAGGACCACAAAAAGATTTTGATGAGGTTTTGTTAGCTTTGTCAAAGCTTGACTTAAAAACTAATGGCAATCCAACTCTGCAAAAAAAAAAAAAAAAAAAAAAAAAAAACAAAAAAACAAAAAAACAAAAAAACCAAAAAGAAAGCAACATGATTTGTATTAAATCTGTCAAACTCAAACATATATGCTTATTTACATATTACAGATATAAGAATAAAGAACATACTTTGAAGTGATAGCCTTGATTTGTTTGGCCATATGTAAAATATGTTCTTCAGATTCAATCACATTGGGACCAGCTAGCACAAAGAATGGTTGTGCTCTTTGTAATGGTTGTAGCAATGAGTCATTAAGCTTAATGCTTGCTAAGAAACTTACTTCAAACTCAGAGCAACGGACAAGGTAAGATAAATCCGTTAAAGGCCATTATAAAAGACATTTACTATTAGTCCAAATGATTGTTCTATAATTTATTGACCTTTTCCAGTCATATCTTTTGTCTCTTTCCTATATTGGCCTATACATTCAACCATCAATTTCCTTAAAATGGATCAACAATTCATTTTTTGGACATAAGTGTCTTGTAATATCCAATTATTAATTCATTTCACATATCTCAACCACTCGTGTGAGTAGAAAGACTCAATTGCCCTTATTATGTGTGATACTCATATTTCTATCAAGTATTATTTAGTTGTAAAGTTATAATATAATAACACCATAAGCGATTAACATGGAAACATTAACTTATGATGATAGTTTAACCTGAAAATGTCTCTGTGAAGAAAAAAGAAATTTTCCTTGCAGCCGACTCACATGAATTGAACCATGAACTCAATTCCACTCCAAATCCTGCACACACATGGCCCTGATGTTATACAAGACAAAAATTTAAATAACAACACACCACCATGGAAGGTAAAAACTTTCATTAATTAGTTGCGTCAGTGACACAAAGTTTTCAGGCTTGAATCACAAGAATACAACATGATATGACCACGCCAATCAACACTAGCATTAGCTTCTTGCAAATCCATTATTAACACTGGACCACTGACAAGTAACAAGTTATAAAGATCATAAGACCATGGGTTAATTTTAGCATCCAATATACTAAATTGGCAACCCTTTTTACTCTAGTGGATCTGATGGTAGATTAGATATACTATAGTTTATCAATAGTAAATAATCAACAACACAAAGGGCTTCACAAATTTTCAAATTTTTAATTGGGCATAAATGCTATAAATGGAAAACCCTCTTAATAAATAATCGCAAGAAATGAGACATACTGCTTAATCAATGTGGTTCAGATCGGATCAAAAGTCAGCTTAATACATAAGTAGAAAATATATGATATTTTCTGAACATGCTAGTTGATTTCCTAGTGTGTTGAGTCATTTCCTCACATAGAAAATAAAGTAGTACCACATAGAATTCTTCTATGAATCTCATTATTAAGAAGTAAAAGGTATTATTGAAAAGATAATAAGTAGAGAAATAGGATTTACGTTACAATAAACCATACTTTCATAAATACAGAGACTCCCAAGATTAAGAATAATCAGTTTAGATTGTAACAAAAAGTCTGTTCAAATCACCCTGCAAAAATCAATAACAAAATTAAAAAAAAACATTTCTATTATGAATATAAAAATGTTATTTATTTTAACTAAGTTTAACCTTGGAAAAAATCTTACACAACAGATAAAAAACTCAAGAATTTGTAATATTCACATGAAAACTCAAGGTGACACTTAACATGTGTGTACATAGAACAGATTTGGGAGTTTTTTTTTGGTACTTATAGCAGACTTTATAAATTTTACAGATGTGACTCAACATGACACTTCAAATTGTGCACAATGAACTAAAACAAGTAATGTTCAACCACAAAGCATCAAAATAAGGATGGAGAAAGATTTGGGAAAAAACTAGGATTAAAAGAGAATAGGGCAGAATATATATACCAACAGAGTGCAGCGACATAGGTGGCGGCGTGGAGCAACGGAGGTGGCAGCGAGGAGAAAAGGCCAGTGAAGAGTGAAGGCCTGAAGGGACGTCGGAGGCGGTAGCAAGAGGGAGGAATAAATAGGCACAATCAATGAAAGGGAAGCAGATGCAGGTTAAATATGTATTCAGGAAACAAAAGCATTACTTTTAGGTCTGTTAGGCAAAGTGGTCAAAAAGTCTTTTTTGGAGTATTTTATATTCCCAAACACACCCTAAGTCTATAACCACACACCACTCATAAAAGTAAATCCTGTAAAGGTGGAAAAGTTTAAATCAAATAACTACAAATGATTCCCACAAATAAGCTTAACTATAAATGTTATAGATACCAACCTCTCATCCTGAAAGAAACAAAGCACAAAATAAGATTGTAGTAGAGAAAGTCATATGATCACGTACAAATAAAGTTCTACAACTTGACTTGATATACATACACCTGTCAGGTACCAAGCAGATCTTCTCTTCAACCTAAAAAAAGTTATAAAATCAATAAAAATTTGAGAAAACTATTTTAAAAGGTAAAGATTACTCACAGCCACAAGGGTAAAGAATGTAATTACCTGTAGTTTTGTTATCAATCCCTTTTTCTCTGCTTCAAATTCTATAATCTAAAGATCATTAAAAAAAATAAATATAAAAACATTAAAATAAAATTGGAAATCAGATTTGATAGAAAAAACACTGGAAATCCCAAGAGATGAAGAAGAAGACAGAGTAATATTGGAAACCTAATGACAAGAAAAACAATGAAATAAAAACACTGGTTCATACATTATTTGTGATTTACAGCTAAAAATCACGTCTCAGTAACAAATAATCCCTAAAGAAATAGAGTAAAATAAAGAGTTAAAAGATGATAGCAGGCTTAGAATCCCTGCAAACCAAAGACCATAATTTTCAACCAAATAGCCACAAACCTTCTCCACCTAGGATTAAAATGGTTAGCCATTATCACCATTACCTTGTTGACCATGAATCCCAATATTTTTCCAATTCCTCAGATAAGGAAGATTCCAATGAAGTCAGATAAGGGCATAAAAACAAAATCCTCATTTTTGAAGTCTAAATGCAACTATTGTAGTTCCTAGAACAGAGAAAATCAAGTTTTACAAAAAAAAAAACAAATGAAAAGATGAAGAGGAAAGAATGGATATTACGAGAAACCCTGATGAAAAGAAAGTGAATAATATAAAAAGAACACCGAATAAGCCTTAAATTCTTCCTTGCTGGTGTAAGATTACATAGAATGAGAGGAGAGACGTATGTGAAAATGTAGAGAGCCCCAAATTAATATAATAAAATGATAAAGTAAGAGAAAGAAACCTAGGGTACATACATTGAGAAGAAGAGAATGATATTCAAACCTGGTGCCTCTTCCATTTTCATTTCCTAATTTTCGATACTTCCAATCTGACCATGAACCTCCGACTTCTAATCCCAAATCTGACCTTCAACCTTCGATTTATGATCTTTAACCTCTAACTTGAGCCCTATAGTTTCGAAACCCTAGAACTGAACTTTCGAGAAGGAAGAGTGGATATCGTTGTTCCGCCTGAACACGCTGATATAAAAGCGCTAGTTCTTAGGTGCGCACTTGTGAGGTCTAGAACATAAAAGCCGTAGTCCTTCTTTGATATCGGGGACAAAAAAACCTTAAAATCACCGGCGTTTGGAGTGTGAGGAGTCGTAGACCCCAATCACCAACTCCATGAGTTCAGCTCCCTGGTTGTAGAATGCGTACGAGTCAATGAGTAAAGAAAATGCATAACACCAGCCCCTATAATGGCTTACAACACTGAGAAAATGATTGGAAACATCCAAACAATTGTCGTCGCGAGGCATTCGATCACGAAAGCAAAAGCAATTCTGCTATGAAGACGAAGGCCCTAGGGCTTTTCTTGCTAATTGGAAGAGGCGGGGGGTTTAATTTTTGGGATCCAATAGGCGGGTAAAATCCCGCTTAAAACGCGTGTTTCATTAAAAATTATAAAGCGGCACACTTAGATGGCACACATTTTATGAAAGGCGCCCTCCGCATTTCCATTTTTTTCTTTTCTGACACTAATTTTAGGGCACGCACAAATGCGTGTCCATTATCCTTCATATTTTGCAAAATTAACATTATTTTTTAGGGCACGCACAAATACGGGTCCTCTATCAGCGCGTGTCATTGTTTGCGCGTCATTAAAGGGTTATTTTCTAGTAGTGAAAATAGTTTAAAACATTAGTTAACGGGTATGAACTCACCTGCAGTAAGTGACTGGACTTGAACGGACTGTTATCGTAAGGAAGGATCGGGCAAGTGCTCGGTGTCAAGTGAAGACTTTAGACACACACAATGATCCTAATTACATATGAAGACATATGTATATAAATAATTAGTGATTAAAACACTAATTATGCAAGAATAAACATTTAAACGCGAGGAAAACACTTTTGGTCAAGTGCTAGGAGGCAAATGGGTTGCAACAAAGGAGTGCAATGCCCCTAATGGGAGTTTAAGCTCTAATGACCATATTCTTTGGAGTTTACGGCCCAGGGGAGTAAACTCATGGCCGTAAACTCTCCTTAGGGTCCCTAATTGAAGCTTAGAATTACTACAACTCTAGTGGTGAATTGTTTCAAGGCTTAAACAAGTGTTTGGGCTTCCTAATAACTCCTTTGAGGAGTTTACGGCCCTGGGACCATATTCCCTTGGAGTTTATGGCCGTAAACTCCCTTGGGAGGGTGTTTATGGTGTTTTCAAGTCTCCAAACATTTCAAGGTAAAGATCTATGTTGGGTTCTAGGCATAAGGAAGGAGTTAGGGTGTCATTTGACCCTTTATAGGTGTTTACGGCCCAAGAGCATGTCTTTGGCCGTAAACTCCTTAACTCATATGATTCTTGTGTTTTTCTAGGCTTTAAACACTTTAGGTACTTGTCCTCAATTAAGCCTAAGCCTTCGTAAGTGTTTGTGGCATCAAAACACCCTATTTAGAGTTTTCGGCCC